TGTCGATGGTGTCGACCCCAAGCTGCATCAACTCGTCTGCGTCCTGCGTTACACTGCGGTGGAAGCCGGGGATCACTAGTGCCTTGGGAAGTTTCGAAGAACGCGATGTAGCAGGAGGGCGCCGTGGCGTCGCCATAGCTTGACCAGCCATGGTCGTCAATGGAACTCGGAGGAAGGATTTATCGACACGCGAGAAACCCACAATTCCGTTCACGTCCGCTGTGATTGGCCGAACGGTATACTGCTTGGCTCACCATGGTCTGAATTGCACACCACATTATTATTGCAGCTCAAATTTCACACCAAAGGTTAGGGTCGAATAATCGACCCTTCTATTATATCACGGCAGAAATATATGCATATAGAGCGCCGTTGGTTTAGTGGTAAAATATCCGCCTCCCACGCGGATGCCCCGGGTTCGATTCCCGGACGGCGCATACTTTTTATATCTTTTTTAAGAGCAAAAAGACAGTGCAATTCACTGTACAGAACCAAATCACTGTACAGTTGTACAGTAGCTTCTTGAGGTTGTTTATTCTGGGCTATGTATAGGCTGCGACAGCTTGCTTAAACCAGCCCCTCGCATTGGCAGCGATGGGGGCAATCAACGTTCTCGCGTTTAAGGCGTTCGCAGCAATCGTGTCAGCCTCCTCTTTCAACACATCGCCTTGAACCCACTTGATGAAATACCCCATCGACTTCAACGACCGTGGTAGTCCTCTTTCGTCCAAAATGGTCAACCCCTGATGGAGGCGCGCCTCGGAAACATACTCGTCCACGAACGCCTGGATCGACTGGACGACATCCGGATGGGTTGCGGCTGCCTTTGTCTTGCCATTTCCAATTGTGGGGCCAGGGTTGGCATGCAATTCGCCCTTCACTTTGAACTTTAGGTTGGTGTAGCCAGCGGTGACACAGTTCCACACGATACCTTCCCCGACCCCCGTCACACCAAAGCACTTTGCCGCTGGACATTCGGCTTCCACGAGCGCTGTAACGACGTCACTCCAGTGGCGTCATAGGGTTATCGACCAATCAGAACAGACGTCACTGTTGACGTCAGTTTACGACCAAGCTCGATTGGCGTGCGGCGTGCTCGGCCATGGACACCAGAAGTTTGCAGAGCGCACGTATATATAGCATTAGATATAGTATAGTCACAGTAGTCATGCATGTAGATGTAGATAACGCCAATCAATCAGTTTTACAATTTCCTCTGCGTTATCAACTCCCTACAAGCGCCGTGAGCCGCTCCAATTCCGGTTGCGACGATTCGGGCAAGTTGAAGTCAATGTCGATTGTCCAGCCGCCAAACGTGTGAATGTGATAAATGCGCGCCGGTTCGTTTTCAACTACAATGCGGGGCAGCGCCGTCATGTTCACCCATTTGTGGTCCACAGACGCTGCAAACACCACAA